CTGTAACCAGTATCATTTTTTTATAGCTCTTAGTACCTGTGCTCATTAAAATAGTTAATAATATTCCTCTTCAAAATATCTTATATCGCTACCAGATTGGCAAATACACATCCTTTTTTCAAAAGAAATTTATACTTGCAAACATTTCAAAGAGGAATATCCCTTGCTCTCTCCCTGATGCTTCTAGACCACTGTTTTGCCTTTTCTTTTTAACTCTTTTTATGTCTATACCATTTACCAAAACTTAGGCTTTTCTTCATTCCTCTTATCTACTGACCACCAGGACACTCTTTCCTCAGTAGTAGAATCATTCATAGAACCATTCATTTTTGCTTTCTCATAAACAGTAAAACTTTCATATCACTGACCTTTCTAATATCATCACCTCAAAGTACTAGTATTAATACTAATATTAGTATTTCTAACTGCTGATTATCCCTAATCCTACTTTGTATTTGGGACATCTGGCAACTGTTCTCAAAGGCCACTAATAAAATTCTAGATACCACATTAACAGCCTCTTATCATCTGATTTATTACAACCTTCTAACTAATTTAGAAGGCCTTTCCTCTCTCCTTCCTTCCAATCATTTTTTAAGTATTGCTGCCAGAAGCACAATTCTAACCAAACATCTCTGCTTGACTATACCTTTATTTGTACATGACCTGGTAATAACTCACCTTTCCAAGTTTATTTCCTAGCTCTACATTACTCAAAGACTATATTTCAATAAAAAGAAATATCCCTTGCTCCTGTTTTTAAAATTCAATTCTTATTTCAAGACCCACCTCAAAAACAATGCATCTTACACAAGGCTTTGTCTAATCGTGTTAGCTATAGGCACTCTTTCCTACTAATTCCCAGTAGCATTCCCATAGACATTTATAGTATTATTTCCAAGTGTATATACAATTATGAACCGATTTCTTCCACCAAAATAAAACGCCTCATAGTTTTCTCAAGACCTAATCCTATACATGGCACTATATAACAAATACATATGAAAGAATGCTTATCATGCACTAACAACACATTTAAAAATCTACCTACATTCAGTGAAGCCAAAAGGGCAGAGGGCAGAATTCAAACTAGCCAGGCCCTGGGCATTCTCACCTTTGCTTTCATTTACAGTTATCAGTTTCACAATTCCATGGATTTAGGAGTAAAAAGAGTTAAAATACTTAATCCACTTAAATGATCTTCCCTTTCCTGTAAGTCCCACTCATTCGATATTCACTTCAAGCTCCACATCTTCAAAGAAGGACCTATGGTTCTCCGTCTTCTCTGATCCAAAGGGACCTCAAAATCAAGTAGTGCAGGCTTTCATTTGCAAAAGAGGAAGACAGCCTGGAAAGGTTCAGTGACTTCACTAAGAGCATATTGCTATTAAATGATAAAAATGATTCTCAAGTCCCAGTCCAATATACATTTATTACTAAATCAAGCTGTTTCATATAATTATGAATAAATGCTTACTATGTACAGATAATCTCTGAGATATCATTCCTAAAATTCCATGGTCTAGCCTCTCAGTACATTTTCCATGGCCTGCTCAACAAATCATTGTTCAGAGTCTAAATATGATTAGAAGTAGAGAACAAAGAACTGCACATTTATGCCTTTCTGGGATTGCTTTCTTGTTAAGTCTTTCAATTTACCCCCTTCCTAATCTGTTTCCTCCAAACTCCACTTATTGATCAAAGCTATGCCTTTTGGGACTTAATCGAAATAAAAAAAAATTCAAACAACCCTTCATATATTTGAAAACCACTGCCATGTTCTTTCTCTAGATTACTGACTTAAGCTATGTATACATTTATCAAATTTACTTGCATTAAATGGTCTTAAAGTTTTGGTCTAAATATGCTATGAAAGCATTGAACTTAACATCTGAAGATGGTTAACTTGAATGTCTAACAGACATACCAAATTTAACATGCCCCAAACTTATCACTCTCCTCTCCCAAACCTATTAATCTGCAGCCTTTCCCATGAGTTAATGTCATCTCCATTCTTCCTTCCAGTTCTTCATTAAAAAATCTTCTGAGTCTTGATTCCTCTTTTTCTTTTCTACTACATATCTAAGAGTCAAGGAACCCTACTGAGTTTTCCCTTAAATCATAGCTAAGATCCAACTGCTCCTCACCACTTCTAATACTAGAACCCTAGCTTGAGTCATCATCATCTCTCACTTGGATTACTATAGAATGCCTCCATTAGTTTCCTTATTTCAACCTCTGCTTTCTGCACACACACTGGTCAACAAAGGCAGCCAAGTAATCCTTTTAAAATTACAATGTAAGTGCTATCACATTGTCTATTTGAACTATTCTAATAGCTTCCTAATTCACTCAGAAAAAGAACCCATGTTCTCACAAAGTCCCACACCATATGCCCCCCACATGCCTCTGACTTCATCTACTACTACACTCTCCTCCACTCGCACCCCAGTCCAGCCACAATGGCTCCCTTGCCACTCTTCAAACACAACAGGCATGCTCTGCCACCAGATTGTGACAGGGCTAACTCTCTTTATGTCTTTGTTCAAATGTTTTCTTCTGAAAAGGTCTAATAAAGACTACTATTTTAAAACTGTGACCTGTCCCCTTTCCCACTCTATGTTATTCTATATCAATTATCTATATGGCATCTAACATACCACATTAATTAATTTATTATGTTTAGCATCTGTCTCTCTCAACTAGAATAAACTTCCCAATGGCAGGAATTGTTTTCTTTGTTCACTAGTATATCTCAAGCTGCCAGACAGGGCCCTATCTCCTCTTTTCTTTGACTCCAATGTAGAGAAAGTATTAACTATCCTAAAAATCAATACATAAATTTATTTCCAGCACATCTGCAACCTGACAAACCATGGGATTATATAAAAAAGAAAGTAATAAGCAGCCAGAAAAAAGGAATTCCACAGGTAAGTAAACGAACAGATTTCATTCTGCTGTAAGACAACTTGCAGAAAGCAAATATCAGGTTTCATGGATCAAACAGCCCACATACTCAGCACTTAAGTTCTATTGGATAATACAAGGTTAATATTTTTGTTTGAACAAAATCACAAAATACAACTTGAAAAACAATTCACTTACTGGCCTAAGAATTTCATGAAGAAAAGTGTCCTGAATGCCAGGAGAGAAGCCTCTTGAACTTCCTAGTAACAAACGGTTTAAGTAAAATTACCTATAAATAAGGCTGCAATGCCATCAGACCTAATCTTCCCAAACTTAAGGGAGAACTCTATTTCTTACTAGATTTAACTAAGATTCTGAGACAATCAGCAACACAAACTTCATTATACTCCTTTCTAATGATCTCTTCTATAATTGATTCATTACTGAAAATTTAAAATTAAGACTTCCAAAACAAATTTCAAAATTCTAGTTGGTTCAAACCATATCCAAGCCATTTTAACCATTCTTAGAACACCACCATTCTTTATTGTTTGCTAAAACATCAAGCCCAAACCTCCAATCTCCATGACTTATTTGATCCTAAAAATCAGATCTCTGCAAATGTAAAAATTATTTATCATTCAGTATACTATATATAAAGCTATTCGAATTTATAACATTAATGTGTGTGGAACAAAAAAAATTTTTTCACTAAAATATTATGTGTACAATTTGCACCAGAGGAGAATACAACAATTCTCTTGTAATATTAAAATATATAGAAGTATATTCTTCAGTCAAGCTAAGATAAAGGTCCTCTCTTGCCCGATAAACCTGACATCTTGTTATCATGAAACTGGTCTGGATAATTGGAGTACAAGAGGTTGTCTTGAGACTTCCTAACAGTAACTGTTCATTGGTATCTCTGTTTTAACCCTACTACTCTCCCTCTGCATAAATGTAATAAGAATTACATTTATTATAATGTGCCTGGTATAGGGTACTAAGAACCCTCACCCAGAAGTCATCCACTAAAGTGGATGCTCTGATAACCAAATCAATGACTTCTCTGACTTTATTATAATTTCACTGGCATATAATTGGCTTGATTTAACCTTTCCATTATGAAATGGTACGATCCATTGTCTTGACATTTTCCCTACAGATCTGTTTGTAATAAGCATGGCTATTTATATGATCCATTTCTATAAAAGCAACACAAATTTCAGATTTGCTTCATTTGTAAAGGAAATTCATTCAGGGCAGAAATTTTCCATGATCATTACCTATAGCTCCAGTGCCTGTCACAATGAGATAGTTAATATTCATTTAGTGAATGAATGTTGCTTACAAACAAAACCCAATTACTTTTGTTACAGCTTTCAGTATTTGGTAAAGACCTCTTATGACAATGAATTATAGATGTAATATGTGGATTTATTATTAATGTAATGACTGCAGTCAGAAAGCAATTTTATTCTAAAACAAATGTTCCAATAACTACAACAAAAATACTTGTAAAGTAACACCCTTTTTAATAATTAAGAAAATAAGGAGTCCATTGCTAATTCTCATAGACTCTAGTTTAAAAATTCCTAAATGCTATCAAAATACAGCAAAGCTAAATCATTTTTTAAATGATTTTCAGTAAAAACCTATCTGTTAGTAATCAGGCCTGTTTATTGCCCTACTTCTCTACATAGTAATAAGTCACAGAGATTCCACTGAAGGCAGTTTTGAGGTAGCTGAAGCTAAAAGGAAAACAGCATTGTCCCACTGAGTTACTACTGATACTAAAGAAAAACCCCTTAGTGGTTCTGTTGACTCTGCAAGTTGGGAGAGAGAGTCTAGATAGAAAAAAGCATACCTCTCCTCATGGTTTCATTCATAACTTATTTTTCAAATGTAAAGACTCACAAGTTAATTTCTCTATTAAAATAATGTACTAAACTATAACAATGTTTTCATTCACACTGTTTTATGCTGAATATGAGAGGCATCAGTCAGCTGCCTAAATATTTGAACAGGCAGAAGGATGGTTTAGGAAAGAAATTACAACAGAAAATATCTCAGTAATATGATAAAATCCTTACCTTATCATATTGGCATACAACAACATTTTCTGTATCAAAGAGTTCCTGTCCTTCCTCATCACTTACATCATCTTCACTATTGAGGGGCTCCTACAAAAAAAGGAGTTTATTTATTTATACTTCAAGTATTATTATTAAAAAGGCTCTTTAATATTCAATGAAAAGAAACACAATAACCTTGCTGTCCTTTGAGAACCAAGAGCCAGATGCATGTAAATATCATGAATATGTATCATTAATGTTACTCTGGTCAGTAACATTAACTTAGCTAATTTTATTGAAATTCCACCAAGAAACTAAATGTATATAGTTAAGCTATGTAACTTGTTAAGTGTAAAAAGACATTTAACTTCATTTTTTAAGGATAGCACAAGAAAATAATTCTCTCCATTAACTGCCAAGATGCTTAGAAGTGGACCTAAAAAAGATGAGGGGTTAATGAGATAATTGCACAAAGTACCACCAGAAGAAGCAGTGTAAAAGGAACAATGATGAAATTGGAGGAGGAAAAAAGTGTTCTAAAATAGGCTGGCAGTCTGGCTTGTCATTATATTAAGGACTAGGACTCTGAATATAAATTAGCATGTCTATCATTATGATGGTGATGATGGAGGCTCAGAGTATAATTAACTAAGGCATTCAGATTAAAAGCATGTGTGTGTGGTATGGGGGGAATCTCAGTACCAAAGAGAATTAAAGGCCAATATCTAACTAGAGCATAAAATGACCAACTACATTAAATTTGATCTCAGTTGTGGTGGAAGATAAAAAATATAATTCAGATTTCTAATTAATGGAGAAAGATAAAATAGAAAAGCAGAAGATAATCAACACACTATTAAATCTAGGCCTACACTTACTCACACACATGCATATACATATTCTTTAAAATAGGTATCACAAATGTAAATGTAAAAAAAATTTGACGTAAAATTCACCATTTTAAACTGTACAGTTCAGTTGCACTTGGTACATTCATAATGTGTGTAATCATCACCACTATGTAATTCCAAAACAATTTCATTACCTTTACTATTAAATAGTCATTCCCCATTTTCACCTCTTCCTGGCCCCTGGCAACCACTAATTTGTTTTCTTGTCTCTAAAGATTTGCCTATTCTGGGTATTTCATATAAATGGAATCACACAATGTATTATATATGCAATGTACACATATGAACTGTGGTCTGGCTATTTAAGCATAACATTTGACGTTCATCCAAGTTGCAGCACATACCAGTACTTAGTCATGGATAAATAATATTCGCTTATTTGGATATACCACATTTATCTACCATTTCATAGACATTTGGGTTGTTTATAACCTTTGGATTTGTGAACAGTACTTTTATGAATATTCATGTACAAGCTTTTGTTTGAACATCTGTTTCCAATTTTCTTATAGATATACGTATTAGTGGAATTGCTGGTCATATAGTATTTCTATGCCTACTTTTTTAAGAACCAGCAAACCATTTTCCCAGCAGCTACACCATTTTACATTCCCACTACCAATGCTATACAGGAGTTCCAATTTCTTCACATTCTCACCAACATTTATTTTCTTTCTTGATTATAGCCATCCTAGTAAATGTGAAGTGGTATTTTCATGGTCTTGATTTGTATTTCTCTAATGACTAGTGATATCCAGTATCTTTCAATGTGCCTGTTAGTTAGCTGTGTATCTTCTTTGGAGAAAAGTCTATTTACTTAGCCCATTTTTGAATAGGGTTGTTTGCCTTCTGTTGTAAAGTTTTAAGAGTTCTCTATATATTCTGGATTTTAATCCGTTATTAGATATATGATTTGCAAAATATTTTCTCCTATTTTTCAGGTTGTCTTTTCCCTTTTTTATATTTTCCTTTATTGCACAAAAATTTCTAATGCATTGTTTGTGCTTTTGTGTAAGAAATCATTCCCAGTCCAATGTCATGAAGTTTTTGCCTTATGTTTTCTTCTAGGAATTTTGTAGTTTAAGTCCTAGATTTAGGTCTTCAACCTATTTTGAATTAATTTTGCACATGGTATGAGGTAGAGGTTCAACTTCAGTCTTTTGCATGTGGACATTCAGTTGCAACACCATTTGATGAAAAGACTATTCTTTCCCTATTAAGCAGTCTTGGCCCATATAAAAATTTTGTGGCACGATAGCATACACAGCAGTATTCCACATAAAAAAGACACAACTAAAGTATAAGGATTTGTGAAGTTTGAAAACAAAACAAAGAGTTTACACCAATCAAAGTCTAACCAAAACAAATCTGCATGGCTCTATTAGTATCACATAAAATAGACTTTATGGCAGAAAACTACTAGAGATAAAGCAGGATACTATGTAATCATAAATGGTTGAATTCATTAAAAAATACAATTTTAAGCTTATGTTCACCATTTTTAGGCTCAAAATGTAAAAAGTAAAAATAACAGAAAAACAAGGAGAGATAAATTTACCATCAGAGTAGGAGATAGGAACTTATCTCACTCAGTAATTGATGATGAGCAAGCACACAAAAAACAGCAATAAGGATATAGAATATCCAAAAAGAAACTACTGACAATGTAAATCTAATAGACAAATATAGAAGATAGTCTCATAAACTGCAGAAAACACATTCTTTTCAAATAGGTAAGAAGCATATGCAAAGACTGACCACATAAAGCAAGCCTCAACCAATTTCAAAGGATGCACACATCACACAGATCATATCTTCTACAAATTAAAACAGCTGATTCAGAACAGTAAATAATAAGATAGGAAAAACATCAAAATAAACAAAGCTAAAAGTTGATTCTTCCAAAATAGCAAAATCAACGTACCCCCAGCAAGGCTAAATGAGAAAAAAAAAAGAGCAAGAAGGTACAAATATTAGGAGTAAGAAAATAAAGGAACACACTACAAATGATTCTGGCATCAAAAAGATACTATCATTTTTATGCTCATCAATTAAAGAATTTAGATAAGTATATAGTCCTAGAAAAATGTAACTTACCCAAACTGCCTCAAAAAGAAACAGAATTTGAATCACTATGTTGTATACCTGAAACCAATATAATATTGTGTATCAGCTATACTTCAATTTTAAAAAAGAAACAGAACACTTGAACAGAGTAGAGGTTACTAGGACCAGGTATTTTTAACAGCATATTTTAAAAAATATTCATAGAAGAATTAAGCATAGTCTTAAAAAAAGAAGTCCAAAGTAGGGGGATCACTCTCCAAAATTCATTTTATAATGCTACCATAAACATGAAAACTTGGTAAGAAACGTATGACAGTATCATTCATGAACATACATGCAAAAGTCCTAAACAAAGTGAATTCAACAATTCATAAAAAGGGTAATTAAGACATAATGACCAAGAATTATGCTATCCCAAAAATACAAAATGGATTTACAAACAGAAAACCAATAAATGCAATTCACCATAAATAAGAGATTAAAGACAAGAAATGATTACCTAATAGTTACAGAAAAGTGTCTAATAATATTCAATGTTCACCTATAGTTTAAAAAACAAAACTCTTAATCTGAATAGAACTTCTTTAACAACTGTTAAAGGATATCCAGAAAAAGCCTACTATAGTAAACATTATACTTAAGAGTGAACCATAGAAAGGATTCCTTTTTAAGATTAAGAACAATATAAGGGTACCTGCTATCACCATTTCTAATCTATATTGTTCTGGTGGGCTCAGTCAATAAAGCAAGAAAAACTGTTTTTCATATTTGATCTGATTGTCTACAGAGAAAACATGAAAAAAATCAGAGGCTAAACCTCATCAGTAATTAAGGAAATGCAAATTAAAACCAAGAAATTTCTCCCCAGCAGACTCACAAAAATTAAAAAGCCTGACAATACACAGTGTTGGTGAAGACATAGAGATATCTGCACAGTTATATAATGAACAGCAGAAGTGTAATTAGTACATTTCACATTTTATTGTAAAGTGGAAGATGTGGGTGCCTTATGATCCAGAAATTCAATGTTTAGGTATAACACTTAGACAAACTCTTGCATATGTGTCCCCAGAAGACATATATCAAAGTATTTTATAACTAACAGTAAACAAGTAGAAACTACCCTAATGCCCATCATCATCTCACAAAAATGGATAATAAATTATGGTATATTCAACAGTGAAAATAATTACAAGTGTATGCAACAATTTAGATGAACCTCAGGAATCCCATCTTGAGAAAAAAAGCTTACTTGCAAAAGAATACATAATTGTTCCATTTATGATGGAACTTTTTTTTTTTCTTTGAACTACATGTGGATACCAGGGTGTTTGTTTTTTATTCATGTGCATCTATTCAATATTTAATAAAAGCAGTATTTTTTAATAAAACATTACTTAGAACGTTTTGAAGAACTTTGTACTACAATCAACAAGATTACATTTTAGGCTGTAGAAGGCAATTAACAACAAAAATTGTGGTAAGACGAATATTTTCTTGAACACAACTAACTAGGCTGGAACACTGAGGACAACAAAAATATATTTATATGCTTCTGGAAATTTATGACTAAGTTTGAATAAGAAATTTTTGTTAAACTAAAGATAGACACTAAGAATAAAGCTATGAAGTGCTATAGAATGTAGACCAAAAGGAAGCTGTAAATAAATATCACTTAGCTTTTTCCTTGAGTCTCCTTTCTTCCCAAATGTTGCCCTACCCACTTATTATTGAAGCAAAAGATTAAGTATCTCTATCTGTTGTACCAACGTCTTAAACATTTTAGCCAAATCAGTGAATGCATAAGCCAAAGAATTAGAATGACTTATACTGTCTGCATCACCATTATAAATGTAACTTAATTTGGTGTACATTCATTTTTTTATTGCCAACTATATGAAACAATATTTTATGATGATAAGCACAGCCAGAACAATCTAAAACCTTAAGTTATAACAATCTAACTTTATATTTAAAATTCTGTGCTTCATAGCACCCTAAAAGCCTCTGAAAAAAATAGGATATAATTCATCAGTTTGGCACCAATAGAAAAAAATGACTAAGTGGCTTCTCATTTCAAGTCTTTTACTAGAAACTTACTTCTTCTACCTGCCCATCCTCGGCTCCATCTTTCTCTTTGTCTTCCTCTTCATCATCATCATAGTCTTCTTCTTCATCTTCATCTTCTTCAGACGACGTATCCCCAGTCCCATCAACCTGTAACACCAATGGAGCTTGTGGCTGAGAAGTCTGGGCCTGTGGCTGCTGCTGGCCAGCTGCAGTTATCTGTGCTTGTGCGGGTGTTGGTGCCCCCACTGTTGTGGGTATAACTTGAGTCTTATTTCCTGTAAATAAGATTTGCTGAGGCTGTATGATGACACCTGTCTGTGGTGAAATCCCTCCAGGAAGAGGGGCCAGTACCTAAAGTAAAAGAAAATCTACGTATTAGGAAGTAGTTAAAGGATCAAGTACCTCAGTATCATTACACAGAAATTGGCCAAAATGCTGAAGAATTCCCCAAAATGGCCTTATTTCAGACACAGTTAAAACTTCCAAAGCACAAAAGAAATGTTTAACTAATGTACTGATCCACTAAATTTCCACTTTACTGTTTAAATTTCTGAAAGAAAAAAGATTTTCTGAAGATAACTGCTTCATTTATCAAGTACTTGCTATGTATATGCCAGATTCCAGTCCAAAAGTTAAAGATGTTATTGGTTTACTTGCTTGAGATATGGAGAGGTTCAGTAACTGGCAAAGTTGCAGTCACTAAGAGGCAAAATTTGAAAACCTAGGCTTTCTGGCTCTGCTCCTTACTATGCTATACTGCCTCCCTATAAAGAATAATGCACTGCAAAGATTCTAGTTTTGCCTAAGATCACAGATACAGACGTAGCAGAGGCAAGTCGTTCAATCTCTCTTGGTTTTAATTAATTACTTAACCCTTAGACAGGATCAATGGTTCTCAATCTTGGCTGCAAATTACAACCACCTGGTAGCTTAAAAATACTGATACCTTGGCCTCATTCCTAATATTTTGATATAATTGGTGTGAGATGACACTATTGATTTTATTTAAAGCTCCCCAGATGATTCTAATCACAACCACAGCTGAGAAACACCAGATCATCTGATTCCTGAAGTTCCTCCCAATTTCTGCATTCTAGAATTCTAAAACAAACCACAACTCAAAACACATTAGCAAATATTAATTAAACCTGTTGTAAGTCAGATGTTTATAATTTATTAATAAATAAAATTAGAGTGCCTAGTGGTTTTAAAGAAAGCACTAAGTGGCAATTACTTGTCATTAGGTTAAAAAATGCTAAAATAGTAGTAAAACAGTATTTGCCTTAAGATGTTTATAGATTAATGGTGCGACATACAAAACAGTAACAACTCAAAAAGATAGATGTAAGAGAAATATGATAATGGTGTTAGGAGAGCACAGGAGAAGAGTACTAAATTCAGCCTGGAAGACAAGGCATGGTCAGAGAAGCCTTCCTAGTAGGTAATACTGGAATTTCTGTGCTTTTACCCAGGCTTTTCTGTTTGGTTGGTTGGTGTGGGCTAAGTAGAGGAAGTTGCTAGAAGGCAGCATTCTAAAGAGAAGACTATCAAGCAAAACCCAGAAATAACAACAGGACAAACTTTGGAAAGCTGTAATCAAGTTGGATTGATGCTCCTCCTCTTATCTAACATCTATCATCATACTATTGTACTGACATTCTCTGATTATGTATCTTTTTTTTAAAGTACCTAAGTTCCTCAAGAAAAATAACCATTTCTCTTTCATCTTTATCCTCACAGTAGAACAGTTTAACACCTAGTACACAAGTTAAGTGCAAATATTTGTTAACTTTGGTCTAAACAATAGCTAAAGCAGGCAACAACTGGAAGTATGCAAAGAAGCCTGAAGAGATCAAAAAAACAGATCCCAAAAAGATCTTACAAATCATGCAGAGTTTATACTTTTTCCAATAGGCAGTGGTAAGTTATTACAAGACGTTCAAGATTTTTAGAACAAGGAATATAAATACAAAGTGGCAGTTAGGTTAGGAGGGCACAAGACTAGAAGGAGGGAAATCAATTAAGAGGATAATACACAGCATTTTAAGTGAGAAATTATGAAAGCATGAACTAAGGAAATGATAAGAGAAAACTAGTTTCAAATATATAAAGGACTGCAAAAATATTAAAGCTACAGTCCGAAAAAAAGGAACTATTCAGAAGAATTGGTAGGACTCCATACCTTGGATAGTGGAAGGGAAAGGAGGATAGCACACTCCCTCTCCGGGAAAATAAATAATCTTGAGAATGGGTTCATGCCTGCCTTGTTCACTCCTAACCCTCCAGTTACTTGTAAAGACTCTGATACACAGTGACACAGTAAAATGCTTGCTGAAGGAATGCCCAATAACTAGCTTAGGAGGCTGGATGGAAAGTGATACCACTGACAGAAAAGCACTTTCAGGGGGATGAGTAGGGATAGCAATTTAGTCATAAGCATACTGAATATAAGTTAAACTATGATGTGTACATGAGGAATTTTGAATGACAGGGTATATAGTACTGAAAAGGTCTTAAGAATTTGTATGGATAAAACCATGGGAAAAGGGAAGGGAACCACCCAAAGAATTCACACAGAAGAAAAAGAAACCCATGGTGATCCTAATTTAAGTTCTTTTACCTGTTGTATAACAGGAGCTTGTACTCCACCAGGCTGCATTTGTGGTATAACCTGTTGTTGTAGAACCACTGACTGCTGAGGTTGAAAGATATACTGGGCACCATTGGCTGCTCTGACCACTTGAAGAAGCTGGCCTAAAGCAAAAAGTATTTATTCCAAGTTACCATTCTAGCAGTGACCATCTCAAAATAAATCTAGTTTAGAGTGAATGTCAAACCATCAAAAGTCCTAGAAATTATCAAGTAAGAAGTCTAACAATTTTAGTAAGGGCCATCATCTATCCATGGTAAACCTTAATCCTTACCTTCTCTGACTACACTCCATGTTTAAATATATTGCTTAAAATGTTTTACTTTCCTTATTATTCTTACAAAGCTGTTTGCCGACATAGTTTTAACATTATGGTAGTTCACTAAAAGCTTATATTGCTAACACGTTTGGAGTCATGAGAGAACAATAAGTACAACGATATGTTTCAGGTGCTGTTCATTTTCAACGCTTTAAAAAAATAAAATTAACAATTTATTAGTATCTTGAACCAAAGCACCACAGCACTTAGCCTCAAAATTGCTTTAAAAAAATAAAAGTTTACTGAACCAATTATCACTGGTACAATAATACTAACTATATGACTGGCTTATACACAGAAACTGAATCCCTCTAGTATGTTGTTTTAGATGTCCCAGAATTTTAATTAAAAAGTGAACAATTATCTTATTACATATCTAGCAAGATAAAGCTCTAGCCTGCTCTTCACAAATTTAGAAATAAACAGACAAAATCATATAATTGATTACAGAGAACACCGAAATCCATGTAAATAAATTCTTCAAACATTAATATGCCAAAGTCATGAATCTTTCATCAGTCTATGCAGAGATACTATGTAAAATAGAATGCAATGAATTTACTCTTAAGATATTATGGGATTTAGTTTGAAATCACAAATTATTTAAATGAGTCAAACTTATTTGGCAGATTAAATGTGTTTAGCAAAAAACTAGTAAATAATCATTTCTATGTCATCACACTTCATTAATAGGATTCTTATTCACAGATCAAAAGCTCAAATGCAACTGCCATGTTCTCTACTGCATCCTCAGCAATGATTACTGTTTAATGTGCTACAGTCCTCAAATAATCTTATTTTAATGGTAAAGGAAATATTAAGATTTTCTTTCAATGAAGACAAAACAAAGATTAGATGGTACTATTTTTTGAGTTATACAGTAGTCCACCCTTATTAATGGAGGATACATTGAGACTCCCAGTGGATGCCTGAAACCTCGGATAGTACAGAGAACCCTATATATACTATGTTTTTTCCTATACATACAAACCTATAATAAAATTTAATTTATAAATTAAGTACAATAATTAACAGTAACTAATGAATTAGAAAAATTTTAACAATGTATTATAATAAAAGGTACATGAATGTGGTCTCTCCCTCAAAATAACTTACTGTTCTGTATTTACCCTTCTTCTGATGACCTGGGATGACAAAGTGCCTATGAGATGAAATAAAGTGATGTGAGTGACACAGGCACCGCGACAGAATTGGGCTACTACCGAACTTCTGACACTGTGTCAGAAGGAGGATCATCTGCTTCTGGACTGCGGTTGAACGCAGGTAACTGAAACTACTGGAAGAGAAACCAGGAGTAAAGAGGAACTGCTGCATAAAAACAGTTCTGTTACTCCTAATTACCTGAGTTTGTTAGTATCTGTTGAACTGGAGTCACACCTGCAGGGAGAGCCAAGGTAGCAGCTGTAGCGGCAGCACTCTGGAAAAAAACCAAAACCACTTACATGCCTGGCAGTACCTCAGTTTACCTCCGATGTATTGTAATATATATACTAAAATGAAAAACTCTAACAATAAGACTAAATCTCATATTATAAAATGGTAGAGACCACCTAATTGAAATGTTCTACCTAATTATTTCAGGCAATTAAGTAGAATAATATAGTTGGGAGGTTTTCCCCCAGGGAATGTGCTCTAAGGAAATCCCACCCACACTAACAACACTGTGCAATATATGAAATACCCACTCTGTTATTTCCTATCCTACTGCTTCCTTACTCCCCAAATTCCTTGTTGTCAATTAGAGTACTTGAGGGAAGAGTGTTAGTTTCTTCATTTTAGAAATCTTAATATTTTTAATTAACAGGTCTCTACAGAAACCTTGCATCAGTAAACTGTACTTGGAGTATAGCTGGCAATTCTTCTAAGATGCCACAGGTGAAAAATCTCAGTGAAATATATATTAATAAGTTTTATTAATACAAAAATCACCTTAAACTCGAGTCACAAACTTTAATTTCTATATCTTAAAATGGAGTTAGTATCTGAAGTTATTATTTTTAAGTTACAAAAGTCGAGTAAGATTTTGTTTAGAATGTCTTTAAATCCAGGATAAATTCCTGATTTACTGCTTCTAAAGACTTCTCCCCTTTCCTCCAAAAGAATTATACTACATTTTCATTGTTTTTTTAATCCTGTGCTCAGCATATTTCCATGTATCTCACTATAAATACACAGGTATTTTTTTCCTCCTTCCCCCTTCAATCTTTTTAAGATATCAAGCCTCCATATATCCTATCTAACCTATACATTTTTAGAAACATCTCCATTTTAATAAACTCTGAGAATTATAACTGCTTTGAAAAACGAAAGCCAAAGAAGTCAACAAGACTTTCAAGTCACTTGGAGAATTGTACTCTAGTGAGTTAATGACACAATTACTATCTGGTCTAGATTCTAGGTTTAGCTTTCCAAGAAAATGTGCTTGTTGCCATTTGACAGGCCTAAGTAATTTATACACCTAAAGCCTGAAATTCCTACTATGTTCCCAGAATCCAGCTATAACCCACCCGGTTCTCTTTATGAAATGCAGTTTCTACATTTCATTTATTTTAAATTGGGTAGTTGGATATCCAACTGGGTCCAACTGGATAGCCAACTACCCGATTTAAAAAAATATTGTTTGTATGGGCAAATAAAAGGTAATCTAAGTTTATGGAACATATTAACAACCACTTACTACTGAGAAATATTTAGGAATAGTAAATGCCTATAATTTGAATCTTCTTAGATTAATATATCGCCCTCTACTGGCAAACTGACATAGCGGTTTCTATACAGCATACATGACAACCACTTAAATACTTCTGCACATTCAAGTTGTTATCAGTAAATATTTGTTTAGTGATGTACCATACACAAACCATCTTTTATTAATGTCTACAGAAAATTTATCCTCATTTTTACAAAACAGACCTAACATGAATAATGCACTAGAGAAATCATTTCATAAAGAGAAACCTATAAAACTGGTTTGATAGAAACTTGAATAAAGTTCCCTGAAATAGCCTTCTACCTATTATCACTATACCACATTCTTATGAAATTATGTCATTTTTCAATATGTTCATTTCTAAAACATCCAGAGCTATTTAAAAACCAAAACTGCTTTTAACGGGTATCTTTGAACTGGAAATAACAACACACACACAAAAAAAAAAACGTAAGAGCTTATACTGATTATGTTTCAGAATATGTAAAATACATGGAGCAAAAACTGACTGAAAACATCAGGTAAAATGCTAAAATACATATAACTGCCAATACAGTTTACTGATTGCAGCTTCTGACCTATGTGTTTAAAGAATACATGCTTTTTAGAATCAAGACAAAACAAATCAGTAAGAGATGGGCCATTAATTTTGCCACAGTCTCCTTAAAAACAATTTTAATTCAAAATTATCTCCCAAAAATACTTTAAATTCTTTGAAATTACATATGCCCACTGCACATGACTCTACCAAAGTTTGTTTTAAAAAGACTCGTTACTCCCTAGCACTCTTGATAGTACCAAATGGAATGTCAATCCCATGGTGAGACTTTTATTTTTAAGGATGGAGGTTAAAAAGAAATTTGAGACCTTACACTTGAAATGGAATTTTTTTGAATAAAAATTCTTGTAGGAATCAATAGGCATGGAATTTTGTGATTTTTATGCAAAAGAACCAATTTCAGCAATTTGAACTAGAGGTACAAATAGAGATACCGGTTTTCTGTGAATTTAAAAATAAAAGTTTATACTATTATGTGGAAATTTGCAGTTCTATCAAGTTACGAACTTGTAAGGCTGGTATAAAAAAAGAAGTCATTTATCTAGTAGGTGAGCCCTGCTTCCTATCTGGCTTACTATGTCACAAATGAGCTTTGAGGTTTACTACTCATCACTCACCAAGCAGAAGTTATTTTTTCAAATACCAACTTTTCATTAAAAAAGGTATCTGAAAAAAAAATAAAATAAATAAAATAAAATAAAAAAGGTATCTGGATCTGAAAAAAATAACTTTGTCAGCACTAAGCTAAAAGATCATTTCAAAAATTGTGATTCTTACCTCTAACAAGAAGATTTGGGTGAATTTAAAAATGAAATGTCAGAAACACTACTAACAGTCTACATATTTTACTTAGAGCAAAGAAAAGCCATGTATGAGAAAGTGTTGGAACTATTCTAATCAGATTTTGTTTCAATATTTTATTTTTTTTTTAAACTTAAGGATATAGGTGAAGATTTTCTAAGTTTCTGAAAGGGTTCTTTCTACTTCAGTTATATTATACTCTATTTAATGGGAAATACTTTATGTCCTAAGTAAAATTTGAAATTCTGAATACTTCAGCAATTTACATATTACAATAAAAGTTACTTGGTTACATTACGGTTGAATCAGAGCAAACATTTAAAAATGTTTAATCTTAAAAATAGTTATCTTGAGCTATCTGGGAAATTCATTTTTATTTTTGAAAAGCTTATAATTCTTAGCATTCCTGCCTTGGCAATTAATGAGTAGGTCTTCTGAAACAGATCTATACTTGGCAAATTATGTTTAGTAGGTCCCCTAAACCTGTTTTCCAAAAATAGCAGGGGATGAACTAGCTCTCTAAAAGCATCATTCTTTTGGCATTTTCCACAGAAAACAGCATAATTCCATGAACCTTAATATCTAAGTGACAAGCTAAACTTTAGATTTGTTGCTAAACCCAGTATCTAGGAAACCAGATAAAACAACCATTTTGCTTCAATCTTGAATAAATGTCAAGTTGTTAATATACAACATACCTAGGCATAATCAAAATTTGGGTTAGAATAAGTAGAGCCAAGCTAAGTGCTATTTTGCGCCTTACCATGTTTGATGCATTCATATGTTGTATCAGCTTAGAATCAGGAACAATAACTTGCGGTGCTGCAGCTATTAAAAAAAACACAAGTACACAATGCCAACCAGAAACCATGTGTCTACTTAATAATCCTAAGACTGGTATACAACTTTGAAAAATTTTTTCTTGGTTTCCTCATTTTCTACATTCAAATACACTCAACCACTTAGCGTCTCAGAAAGTTATAAATTTCTGTTGTAACAGCTCATATATGTCTACCTTATACTGGAAAATATCAATTAAAAAAAAAGATTTTAGTAACAATACCTAAAGACACAAGGAAACTTGGGAACACAAGGTAGTAAGACACCTAACATCCGAATACACACATTTCTGTGGCATTCTTAAACTGGAAATTTTCAAAACATGATTTAATCTTGTCCTGCTGACTCAGCATTGTTTTACTGATACAAAGATATTGTTGGAATGAATTATTAGCCCATTAAGAGTGAGCTCAAAAAATTATAAACCATTTATATTTACATCTACATAACCCTTTTCTCCTAATTTGACAGTTGCTAGAATCTTACATTATTTCCAGTAACTTTTTTAAAAGTACAAATCTGAAATAATGGAAATGTTACTTAAGTATAGAAGGAACTAAGTGTTTGATCCCGCAAATATCAGAGAATAAACAGATAATCCCATTATCCTAATATTCTCTGAGTGAAGAAAATCAAATTTTAATTTATGATGACCTAAAATCCTAGTGCCAGGTCTGGAGGCAATAGGAGGAACAGTCATCAAAATAGACAAAAAGGATAAAATTATTTGATTCAAGGTACAGAATAAAATCAAATGCTAATAAGCCAGACCTTTCTACTATACATCACTACCAATTTTTAAATTTTAAGTCTTATATATACAATACTCTCAGATGAGGTAAATGGGTAACATTAAACAGTTATCTTAAGATAAACTTTTATTTACCTTAATTCTCCTCTCCAATAACAAGATGTAAAAAACTCAAATGCCCCCCAAAGTGTTATAACTTAAAAGGTGTTTGTCATGACAGAAAATATTTACTACATGTAATGGATCAAGCTTCTTAGTCTTTTCAGGGCCCAGATTTTCCTCAGCTGTGAAATTTTCTAAGAGCTACTTGACAAAGCCTTAAGGCTTCAAAGAAACAAAATCTAAATCATGACTTGCACAATACAAAGCACTATGCACACAGTCTCTTCATACCTTTAAACCAAGTGATATAAATTATGATGTAACATATCCACTCTTCACTTTAAAGGAATCTAATTTAGTCAATTTAGAGTTACATAAATTGAAATTTCAGGTTGCCTAAGTATAGTTACAAAAATCCTCCAAATACATTTTATAAAAACTAAAGGTAAATGTCTTTGAAGGAACAAATCAACTTCACAAAGAAAACAGATAACAATTTTACCATAAGAAATAATCAAACTCTTAGTAAACAAACCTTTGTAGATTTGACTTATTTTATAAAATCTACCATTGTATAGCCTTATCAAAAAAAAGTATTAATATACTTACCTGAATATCATCTTAAGCTTTCAATCAGTGAAGTACTTATTATGATACAAACAGGGTCCATGAATATATATATATATACACACACATATATATGAACACACACACATGCACCACCCTACCCCAAACAATAGAAGAGAAAAACCCAGAGTATTTCTCTTCTCTGAAAATGACAGGCTTTTTTTCAGGTTGTAGGTAGGAACACACATAGGCTCTCACCCTGTTGTGATGCAGGAATAAGGACCTGCTGGGTCTGCGCCTGCTGAGGTACCGTGGACTGTGCTGGAGCTTGCTGATGGTGGTGGTGGTGGTGGTGCTGAGGTTGCGGAGGCTGATGCTGCTGCTGAACTTGCAGTAACAGCTGCTGATCTTCTGAATGAAATCCATCTACTGCCCTAGACTGCATGAGCTTATTCTCCCATAACTAAGGCAAAGAACATTAAAGATTTCTAAGTCAAAGGGAAGAGAACTCCAGTCATATGAACAAAACATATTTTGTTTATTAGCTTATAAAGTTCTTCCATTTTCAAAACTGATATAACCATAAAATCAACTGATCTCTAATTCTTATCCCAGTGTATGCAACAATGAAAACTAATGTTTAAGTATCAAAACTCTTTTTTGAGACCTTAGAGTTACCACATAATTTTTTTAAATTTTTACATCTTAACAAACTTTTTTAGGGTAATTCCTTAGTTACAGGCAGAGTCTCATATAAGCAATTTTTCTGTAATCAAAGATTATCCTTTTTAATATAAAATCCATTAACTATTTTTATGGAAACCTTTCCTTAACACAGTATCTAACTTTTAAGAAACATGTACAACTCATCTTTTCTTGATCTAAACAATGAGAAACATAATAGAGATGACTTCAAGTTAGAAAAGCACAACTCTCCATCTGCTTAAGGGAGAAGAAACAGCAATGCCTAATGCTAAGGTATTCTCAACCTTCCACTCTTCTTGAAATTCTCCTCCCTCTTCCACTATGACAAGGATTGACAATTCTTTGCTTTGTACCCACTGCTACTTTCTTATTTCACACTAAGGCAGCTTCTGTTACAGGAATAAAAATTAGAATTGGGCAAAAGGAAGAAGTAAAAGAAAAATTTACCATGATTTCATCCTTCACCCTGACACATTTTCTCTCTACCATGTTTAGTGTTCAATCTAGGCTGCCTCAACTTTTACAGAAATTGCCAAAAAAATTAACAAATTGTTCATTACACATACAAATGAAATTTAATTCAGTAACTTGTAAACAAGGATCTACACATAACTAGGATTTTCTCCTCTACAATCTGCCTGACTCACCTTACTCTATCAGATCCTTCTAGAAGCTCCCTCTGCCATACAGAGATTTTTATCATCTCCTATATACTTCCTGCTGTACTACTCTATACAATAAAAAACTGTCCTGGTCAAAGTATAGTTGACCCTTGAATAACATGGGTTTGTACTGTTCAGGTCCACCTATACATGGATTTTTTTCCATAAATACATTGGAAAAGTTTTGGAGATTTGTGACAATTAAAAAAAACATTTTTTCTCTTGCATATATTGTAAGAATATAGTATGTAATACATATAACATATAAAATGTGTGTTGATCAACTTTTTATATTATTAGTAAGGTGTCCCGTCAATAGTAAGCCATTTTAGTAGTTAAGCTTTTGAAGAGTTGAAAGTTATATGAGGATTTTTGAGTGCATGGGTGGGTTTGAGGGTGTTGGCATCCCAAGCACTACGTTGCTCAAGGATCGATACAATGGCTATTATTTCTGGCAATACTACTTCAGCAATCTTTGCCAGACCTCTGAAATAAAACATGGAGAAAATTCATTTTCTGTTCCTCAGGTGATTCAGATGGGCATCTCTATCATATTAACTCAACTAATACTGAATTCTTATTGTGCATAAAGTATCTTATATGTACAGACTCATTTTTCACAGATCCCTATTAGATATTATCTCCTTTTCACAGAAGAACCCAAGGAACATAAAGTTAAATAACTTATCCAAGATCTCCAATTAAAAGCATGCAAAACTAGGATACAATCCAGGCAGTCGGACTCCGATGTCCAACCCAGTCAGGGCTGGACACTGAGAGTGAAGAGTCAGTCTTTTAAATTTTATACACTAACCACCTCGCTTACCTCATCCTAATCCCACCTCTGACCCCAGTTTCTAATCTCTATAAACTGTACAGCTGTTATCAGAGCACATCAAATCACAACTCCAGTACCCTCCCTTTTACTGGCAGGTATTGTACATGTCATCTAGAGACAAAAAGGTCTAGGTTTAAATTTCTACCACTTCCTAAACGACCCTGTCAAAGAATATTCCCTCTGAGTCTATTTTTTGGTGATCTACTGCTTCCTAGCAATATGTTAGGCTAGAAAGTTCGAAGGTTTCTCCTACTTTCACACAACACCTAACCCCTGGGCAAAACATAAGACAACTGCATTTCTAGGATCCCTAGAAATGATGTTGGGGAACCGCACTTCCCCCAAGGGCAAATGCAGAGGAATAACATATTATTGTTCCACTTAAGCTCCAAGTATTTATATATTATTAGAGCACTTTTAGAATAGTAGTTCTCCACTGGCAGTGGTTTTGCCCCCCAGGGACATCTGGCAATGACTGGAGACATTTTGGTTGTCAGAACTCAGGGGTGCTACTGGCATCTAGTGGACAGAGGCCATTTATGCTGCTAACAGGACAGCCCTCTACAACAAGAATGAACAGGTCCAAAATGTCAGTAGTGCCAAGGTTAGGATACATGATCTAGAGGCAGATAAACTGAGTTTCAGATTTGTCTCTAATTAAGGAAATTCTTCTCACTTGGTTTTATCAAGAGCAGGGACCATGTTTTACATCTCCCACTTGGATTTGGATTTGGATATGGGTACTTGCCATTTGGATATGGGTACTTGCCATTTGGATATGGGTAGGTCTGACAAGTCTAGAAATCAGGATGACTTTATCACTACCACTTTGAAGATTTCTAGGCTGTTACTCCAACCCGCAGTCACTTACCAATACAAAACAATTTATATTCAGATATAGAACTGTTGAAAAAAAGCAAGACTATGTTTTATGTCTTCTCTGTCTCCCATAGTTTAGACATTAAAGTAGGCCTATAGTGTTGAGATACAACCTTGAGAACTGGTTTGATTTTTTTCAATCATCTTCCTTCCTGCATTGCCCAGTTAAACTTCAAATTACACACACTCTCATCACTCATCTTAATTCATAATCTAATTATTATTGTATTCTTCACAGCCATATGGAACTTGCGATAAAAGTTGTGAAATGGTCAAACAACGGGGACGAAGGGGCTAGAGCTAATAACAAAGCCCTTTGGTAAACCAGGAAATACAAAATTATTGTTAGTTTTTATTAGCAAGAATGTCTAAATCTGTGGGGTCCAATACAATAGACACGAGCCACACATGGTGATTTGCACTGAAATTAATTATAATTAAATAAACGATTCTTTAGTTCCACTAACCACATTTCTAGTGCCTGTGGCTACCACATTAGAGAACATAGATATAGAAGAACATTTTCATCACCACAGATAGAACACATTCTGGAAATTCAAATGAAATGCTGAAGAAATTCAGTGCAGAGAATTAAACTCATTTTAATCTAATAGTTTTATTTTTAAATCCAGTTACAACCTAGAGTAGAAGAGTATGCCCCATTTAAACAACAATAAAAATATTAAACTACTTTGTTCAGTTGGATTCTGGAGTCACATTTGTTATAAACCAGTTTAAACATTTACTGAATGCCAACTATGTATGTCAGGCATTGTGGTAAAAGCTGGGAAGTCAAAGCCTAATAAGCCACAATTTTTGAATTAAAAACACACCACTGAACAAAAAAAATCAGAGTATAACCTATAAAATATATATTATTTATATATCAATTGTTATACTAATATACATTTACTTGAAAAGTCGAAGATAATAAAAATGCAGTGAAGCTATTTGGTCTCAAAGACAGCTCATTCTCTTTGGAGAAAACACCCTGATTGTACTAAGACCAATAGGAAAAATCAGTTCCCTAGACTGTGAAAATCAAGAGTAGATAACAAACAACTTGTTGACCAGTAGTTTGATATAGGATAAACTGAAGTCTTCCGGCCTTATTTTCTGTCTAAAAATGTTGTACTTCCTAGATAAGGTCACAGAACCACAGGACAACCACTGTAAGAATGTAATATAAATTGTATCTACTCCATGTAACACTAAGGAATCAAAATAAGCTTATTTTCTTCTCATTCATATTCCTGAGATACTTTATACTGTCTGAGCAGTTCATATTGCTGTTCTTCCAACTCGTATCTCAGAGTTGGCATTCTTTCACTTGTATTTTTAGATATCTACTGTTCACTTTTAGTAAACATTACATTTCTCTCAAGGTAAGTATTTCCTTATCTCACTTAAACCCATTTATTTTCCTGTCCCCAACACAAGCAGATACTTACTGAAAACTACATTAGTTGCCCACAGATGCCTAGCACCCTATTTTATATTTCATCACCATGTAAAGGTGAAATTTGCTTTATTTAAAATAATACATTGCTAAGTTGCTGCCTCCACACCTCCACTGAATAGATAGATAAATGAGACCAAAACAAATATTCCTTAGCATTCATGGTTACTTATTTGTACACAGCTTTAAAGGAGCTTGGTACCCAATTTCCAAAGCCAGCAGTTCTAAAACTTTTTGGTCTCAGGATCCTTTATCACTTACAGTTACTGTGGACCTCAAAGAACTCTAGCTAAGATTTTTTTTTTTAAACATGTACTAATTCATTAAAAAATAACAATATATCCATTATAGGTTAACATAAATATTTTTAATCCAAATAACCTTATCTTCCAAATGAAATTTAGTGAGAAATGGCTTAAAGGAAAAATGGCTGGATACTCATTATCTGCTTCTACATGCACTTTGTTGTTTTGGTTCAAGTATATGAAGAAAATCTGTCTTTCCACATCTAAGTAGTAAGGAAAACAGTACTTTAAGCGATGGTTTCTTAAAAATTAGCTGCAATGTAGAATCTGAAACCATATACAATGAACTTCACATACTCTTAGATTAAAATCCATTTAATTTATCTTTCATTTGGAAGGGATTTTGCAATGTTATGCACTGGTCATTTGGAAAATATGAGTTCAGAGAATTAATGCAGATATTCCAAATGTTAGCACATTTCATTACCGAAAATGAAACAATCCCATTTCTTAAATATCAACACTGATCTCCTCTTAAGTGAACATCTTTTTAACAATTCAGTGAATCAAAATGGGAAGAACACATAAGCAACTTCTGTAGCATAGGGAATGCTTATCTCAGGAAAAGCACTTGTACACTTGAGTTGTAACTTTAACTGGTCACTTTTTTCAAGAAACACGTTTACTAGAAATAGGACAAACTATGATTATTCACTTGATTTGGCCATCCTTATGGATTCTCCCAAAAGACTATGGGGAAACCCCAAGATTCCACAGACCATACCTTGAGAACAACTGTTCTGAACAATAAGGTAAAAAATATTCCCAGAAAAAACATGCTAAAAATATCTAAATATTTTTGCTTAAATCCTAGGAAATTCAAGAGACACAAAACCAGCTCCCAAAGTAAAATATAAATACAACATTTGGCCCACACAAAGAATCAGATTCAAGAACATGAAATTTACCAAGCACTTATTCCATCTCCACAAAATAAGAACATAAACAAAAGAAAAAGGGAAAAATGTATAGGTATGTCAAATAATTAGACAATAAATGCAGAATGTTAACTATATGTTAATAAGAGCTAATGCTATGGCCAGGCACTGTGCTAAGTACTTTATATGATTATTATACTTAATCCTCAAAACAAACCTATAGGGTAAGTATTACTAACACTCATCTCACATATATGGAAACTGAGTTTGTTTCCATATATGTCAGAAGATGGATAGTAGAGTTGGGATTTAAAACCAGCACCCATTATTTAACTATACTGCTTCCTACAATAGTATCAAATGTTTATCCTATGGCAAAATTATGGATTAGCCTCTGGCTGAAAAGACTGTTTAAAAAAAAGTATGATTATTTAAAAATGAAAAGGCAAACTCACAGTTTTTAGTTCCATCAAAACTTGTTCATCGACTCCATCATCCAAAAAGATGTCTCTCACATCATTAATTACATCTTCAATCACAGATCTGTATAATTTAGGCTTTAAAGGAAAATGAGACTGTTGAAAAAGATCATTTCTAACATATTTTTACAAATTCAAAACAAATAGTCACTTTTTCCAACTTTCTATAACTTATTTTAGAAATTGTAACTTTAAAGATATGGGCCATCCCAGTAAAAATAATTTGCCTTAGTTGAAATGAATTGTTTGATGATTTTAGCATAAGTATTTTAGCATAAGTATTTAAGACTATTTAATACAATTCACATACAGAAAATATGTAGGCACTCAAGGTTCATACAGTTTCCAGCTGTAACTGGATTTAATTCCAAAATGCAACTAATGTAATCCAACAAAAGCTTTATGGGTTGTTAAATATGGTTCCTATTATTCTTTGCTTGGTTTTACCCTAGTTATATCTCATAACCTCATCACTAAGCTGCAGGCTTTAGAGAACCTTATGTCCTGTAATCATTGGCTTGGTAGTAATCTGCAACCTAATGAGTATTCAAATTTAAAAATAACCTAATTTCTGTTTTTGTTATCCAATCTGTACCTTTAAGGTGCACCATTAAACTGTTCATACACCCACATAACAGGTTGCAAAGTCTCAGAGGAATAACGTGCGCTCTAATCTCGTTCCTAGGATTTCTCCTTTTACTTATGCCTGGGTGATGCTATGGCACTGACTCATGAACAGCCTCCATGCTTCTTTTTAAAATTATCATTATTATTACGGTTATCGTTGGTATTATTTAGGGGAAGGTAGGGAAGCTTGCTTCTAGGTTGCCAGAAAGAGTAAGATAGAACAGATGTGAAACACTTTCAAATGTATCAAGTTATGTTTTAAAAAAACAAAAGATGAGAGAACAATTTGCCCAACCTACATCCTACTTTTAATGCTAGACAAAAGAAGTTTTTGTGTCCCTGGAGAGCTGCCCCATTATAAATCCTATCCATTATCACAGAGAGTTATGGTTGAACAGCCTTTTTCTTTCAGTGCTTTGTCATTGTGTTTTATATCTTGCTTAAGGTAAAAGTTACTGGTTGCCCAATAAAACCAAGAGTTTGACTTATAAGCAAACCTCAAATAAAAATAAATTCATTAACATCTCTATCAGCAATACTATTATCACAGGGGAACTTTCTAAGAAAATGTGTACTTGCCTAGCCAAAAATAACAAATGAGTTCCTTCCTACAACTTACTGCAACCATTAAAAATGACTTGTTTCTTTTCACTACAACCAGAATTCATATTTGGGTTCTCACCTTTGCTGTTTCGCTAACTTGCTTTTCATTTTGCCAAATCTACCTCTGTCAACTTTAAATTATTCATGTGTACAATGTATATCCCTAAAGTCTCTCCTTATTTTAACATTTAGATTCTATGTGTAAATAAAATGTATCAGACAATGGGCATCACCTTATTTATGGTAATTTAACTACTTAATTGAAAAAATACATTTAAAAGCATTTATAAAGTTTTCTTTTAAAAAAACAACTCTTCAAGGCATTATCAAGAGGCAGTGTTACTTTAAATTGGTACTATAAATCTCAAACTGGCAATGTAAATTATTTTTTTCAGCAAACTCAACTGTTTTGGTGTTTCTTTAGTGAGTCACCCCTAAAAACCCTGTTTGTAGACCCAGACATTCCTAAGTACAAATGTGCTTTCTTTTAGCACTGTTAAACAAATCAACTTGAAGATTGTGCTTACGTGCCTTAATTAACCCACAACTTGATCACTTGGATTCATAAGCGCTATAGCTGAAGGAAGGGAAATGTGTATTCTTCATGAAGTATACACATCAAGAACAATTCAGTCAGCAGAATTGTTCATAAGTTGAAAAGCTTTCAAAATACTGAGGGCTTTAAAAGCAGGTGGGTACATATGCACTATTTGAAATAAGCAGTTTCCAAATTATTTAAAATGCCAAATTTTATGTGAGCCAGTTTTTGCCTTTTACAAAATACAAAGTGATTTAGGAGGTTTGCCCTGAATTTCAAAAAACAGGCATTACAAATTTAAAAACTGGTAAATTAAGGGCGGGTAGTGGCATTATCTACTAATGAGTAATAAAAACATTCCTTTCAAAAGTGTTTTACCTCTTAGTACACTATCCGAAAATAAATTGGATTAATTTCTGTATTGGACATCATATTAATATCCAACGCAATAGAAAACACACCTACTTATTAAAATTTTAATTTTTTAAAATCCAGTTTGCATTAAGACACCTCACTCTCGATTATTCAGTTTCCCTACACAAAATGTACTGTGGACATAAGGTCCTACGTTGAAGCTTTAGGCACTTACCTATTTCTTCTAAAAGCTTCCTGTCTCCAATATTTACTATAGGAAAACATGAAATATTAGGAGCTATAGTCCTAACGTATTTCCCTAACACTTGATAAACATACCAAAGTCAAGTCCTCTTCAGCAACCAGTTAATGTAGAATGAAATTTTTTTAAATTTCCGATAATGCACACATTTCCTAGTACAAGAATTAGACATCTGAGCTAAAATTTTCTTTAAAAACAAAAATAAAAATAAAAAAAGGAAGGCACTGCAATTGTTTCCCCCCTAACAAAGACAGCAAATCTCAGCTGCTCCATCAAAACAAAAACTTTGGGCCCTGAAAGCAGCCCCGTTGGATGCGAAATTGTAGTGCAAGGAAAGGACCTGGAAATAAATTGCGCTCAGCACGCGCCCGCTTCTCGCCTCGGGAGCACGCACCTCCCAGCCCCGCTCTCAGCAGCTCTCACTATTTAAAGCCGGATCTGGTGTTTAAATGGAGAGGCGGTGACGTAGGCCTGAAAAGCACCTTCCCATCCTGGCAGAGTCTATATTAGAGAGCGGCAATGGCTCTATATAAACAGGGCAGCCAAAGGGAGGAGGACCACAAGGCTCAGGGACTCAAAAGCAGGGTAAGCGGCCGCAGCCATGATGGATCGACCCGAGTCGCCAACGGTACGGAGTCGGGCGGCCGCGGGCTTGTCTGCGGCATTTGGGACCGGGCAAAAACGTGTTTTATTGTCTTAATAAAAATAAGAGTGGGGTGGACTAGTGATCACATTGCGTTGGTGACTGAAAAGGTTATTTATGTGACTGCTTTTTGCAAACCTACGTGATCGCAAGTAACCAAAAGGGGACAAACGGGGAGAAGTAGGCAAATTTCAAGGCGAAAGCGGGGCACTTTCACCGCTGTAGGATTTTTTTGTTTGCTTTGGTGCTTTTGCTAGTCGGGAGATACGATGGAGGTTTTGCTTCCCCTTCGCCATTTTACCGATTCGGAAGGAACCGAGAAGTGCTTTTCAACCTTCGTCTTTTTTTTAAACATAAAATGGCCTCAGTGAAGGCGCCCTAAGCACAACCGCCAGAAACACCCAAAGTAGCCCCCAAAGTAGCCATTAGCCTTACACTGCATTAAAGTGGATCACGGTGGGTCTTGGGGATTCGCCCAACTCCCCAGGCGCGGTTTTTGTTTTGAGGCTGCTCGGGGAGCCCTTCTCGAGCCAGCCCGCGGGGCCCACTCCACGGGGAAGCGGCGACTCCCGCCTGCCCTCCCTCCCGGCGGCCGGGGACTGGGGCCGGAGCCGCGCGCTCACCCCAGCCCAACAGCCTCCGCGGCCCGGACCGCCCCGCGGCGGCCTCAGGCCCCGCCGGCGCCCCCGCCCTCGCCGCCGCCAGCCCTTGGCGCACCCCCCCCCTCCCCCGCGCCCGCCACCCGGCGCCACGGCCCGCTCCGCCCGAGGCGGGAAGCGGCGGCGGCGGCGGCAGCGGCGGCCGCGCGGGCGGTTGAGGAGAGTCGAGGCCGGGAGTCGCCGCCGTCCCCGCCCCCGCCCGGTCCGGCCGTTGCTGCCACCTCAACGAAGCCCCCGCCGGCCACCGAACCACGTCCTTACCACGGTGTTTGTATTTGCCGAGTTCGCCATTTCCACACACAACACAAACAAGAAGGGGGCAACCCCGAGAAAACAAGATCAAAACAAGAAAAAAAAACCAAAACACCGGAGGGTGACCCAAGCCACCGCAGGACTGGGTGAAAAATTTTAAACAAAATTGGATCCTGAGGAGTAGAGGGGGATCGGTGAGAGGAGGGGGGGGGGCAGTCCGCCCGGAGCTAAAAACCTCGAGAACAGCCCTTAAAAAAAAAAGCCACGACCCTTAAGGGGTCCGGGGGGCGTTGCCCGCTCCCCACCCCGCGCCAAGGAGGGAAACCACCACCGGTCGCCGCTCCCTGCGCCGCCGCTGCCGCCACCGGCTGCAGCTCCAGCCGTCCGGTTCGCCTGCTTCTCCCCTTTATATAGCGAGCCAACGAGCTGCGCGAGCCTCCGCCACCGCCGCCGCCGTCGAGAGACAGGGCGGAGGAGGAGGGAGGGGCGGAAAGGGCGGGGGCAGGGGTGGGCGGAGCTGAGCACGAGACACCGCGAGAGCCGCGTGCGCAGGCGTGCCGGGGCGGAGGCCGCGCGGGTCGCGTCATCACAATACGTGGAGGGTGTACTGGGCGGGCTAAGCCCAGGGACTATAGTGAAGTCTGACGGCCACCTCCCCAAGCCCCGAACCATCACGTGGTTAGCGCCCAGGCGAGTCTCCCGCTGCCTTGGCATTAAGGGGCTTGTGAAGCATTGCTGGAGAAGGCGTCAGTTCTGGCGACATTCGTGTCCAAAGCTAGCCGGGACCGCCTCCTGTCAGGGTTTCCCGAGCAGTGCCGCACTATAGGGGCTTAGAAGTGTGGAAGAAGCAGTGGCGGCTGCCTCGCTAGAAATGGCGGCGGCGGAGGGCCGGTCACGTGGCCCGTATTCGGGTCGCCGGGCGCTCGCCCTTGACTGGGGGCAGAGTTTCAAACGCGGAGTCATCTCAGAACTTGAGCTAAGTTCTGGATTCCCAGAAGCGAAGCTCTCGTCCATCTCTATGAGAATAGGCTTTAGGCCTGCAAAACTGCTTGTATGTAAAGGGGAGGAAAGCTGACGTGACCCCACTGTTAACACATTCCAGAATTAGGAGCCCATGAAACCCGTTGACTTTGTTTTTCACTGCCAATGCACTACAGTCTCTGTGTTTTTAAGTTCCCCAAAGGTTTGTCTCCCTACCATCCCACGTAATTTATATAACTTTTCACGGTGGTGGCGATACCGAAAGAAAAAGGAAAATACCACCGGTTTGTGACCGCACGATAATTTTCTTTTTTTTTCCGGTATTGCCAAAATTCTGCGGCTCCACGAGGCCTGTATGTAGTGACTGACACTTGAAATATTTACCTTTGACCCACTAACTCACGTGCCTCTTGCTACGAAGGAAGCGGGCAGAAAACGTCCCTGTCTTGGAATGCAATTCAATAGGCACTTGACCTGCTCTGCGCAAGCAAATCATATCTATATAACAGTTCACGCAGAATAGAGAATGCTCTGTTTAGAAGGCAGAACTCACAGTAAGTACCTAATTCTCTTGTCCGTCCCTAGGAATTTCGAGAGACATGGAATATAGTCTGAACAAGTGAGGGAGTTTATCTTCAAAAGTCAAAGCAAAATGAAATGTCACAAGTTCTATGCCGCTGAAACCAGATTTGAAGGATATCAAAGGCATCCAACTAGAGAGAGGAAAAAATGCAACCTGTGTCTGGTGGAGGAGATTAGAGAAAGCGGAGGGCGATATACTCAGAAAATGAGAAGTTGTGAATAGGTTTGTGAATGGGTAGGGAGTGTATCTGTTAACCTTGAGATTTATTTTAATACTATCTGATCCTACATTCTCTTGACAGTCAATTGCCTCAGTTCCTGACAGTTCCCTAGGGATTCGGGGGCACTTAAAGAAAAATATAATTCACAGGAAATCATAGTGACCTTGATATATAAAATTGTGATTCCACCATCTGTAATTCATTTAGTACTCAGATGACCATTACATTAGTTAGAAATGTAAACTACCAATACCTTCCTAGTAAATTTCACTGCTTATTTTAAAAGGATTCTTGTTATCTCCTTACATACAGATGACCTTATACTATTTGCACATGGAATCCATCGCCTTAAACCGTTCATTTTCTTCCCTACCAGTTGATATTAACTAGATGACTAAGTACTTTGTCATCAATTAGGTTTAAGACCATTGTAGACAGGACATGGGCATCTATGAAATTTACTCTTCACAGAATTACTACTAAATTATCAGTAAAGGAATTGATGACAGGTATGCTCTGACTGAGTCTGACCTATGAAATAACAGAATATAGTTATTATGTTAAAAAGGCCAATACATAAAAAGCCAAAAACCCAGTCCTGGCCTCCTTTAGACCTTCTGACTCCCTGAAGGTCCTGTCTGAGCTGGCCTCTCTCTTCACACACTCTAAATTACAACAACGCTTAAGAACTTGATTAGTATTACCCAGATCTCTTCCCTTCTCCCCCTGGTATGTCTGGCATCTAAGTAACCATTGTGGATTCCATCCCAATTTATTGTTTTCCAATCCTCATTTAGCTGTAATAAGACTTGAATCATAAAATATGTGTGCCAGCCAGGAGTTTCAGAAAGACATTTTCTGATCTTACACCAAAACAGTGGGTCTGAATAATTTGGAGGCTACAAGCTCTTTAATTGGCAAAAATGAGAATTTGTGAACAGAGAACTCCCATGTAAGACTGGATTTCACCTCATATTTAACTTGTTTATACTGAATTTTTTCTTGTTGCCCAAAAAATTAAAATGACTCTTCTAATTTTAGCAGCTCCTTGTACCACATATGAAAGCATTTATACTAGATTTTCAATTTGTGAAGTCATACTTCGGAACAGTCATATACTTACATACATAATAATGCTCTCTTCATCTTTAATAATAATATTCCACCTAAACACCTAAAGTGGATAACTGCCAAACAAAAAACACAGGAAAGATTCAATGCATAAATTTTAATACACTATAAACAAAATGACACTAAATTTCATATGTACAAACATTTAGATGTTTTACTGTCCAAATGACTATTCTAGCAATAATGCCAAGAAAAGAGAATCTAAGAAGACTGCTCATGAAAATTGGCTTAAACTTAAAATGTCATTCTGTAACTTCCTTTCAATCGCTTTATTCTTAAATAATAATATAGGTAGAGCTAATTACCTCACATATTTAGGCATCATGCAGCCCTTATATGCTTAGTAGTATTGGGTACTTTAGGAGGATACAAAAGTAAAAAGGAAAGATCTGCTATCTCAAGCTTACCAGTCCTATGAAAGTCCCTATTGTAAAGTGTACTTCATAATTACAACATTCACTCAAGATATTAAAAGTGCTGATGTATTTCAGGCCTACCAAAAAAAATTATCCTATATTGAGATTTCACCTATTTTTTAGGCATCTACAAGAAAACTGTTGATTTCACGTTCAGTAAGTTTTGATGCAATGTATGAGAAATTGTTCACCATACAAATTACTCATATACATGTAAGGAAGAAAATTTTTTATATCTTTTTTTGTGTGTTCTTCTTCCTAACATTTAAAAATTGCTACTCCATGTCTTAAAACAGCAACTAATTTGCAATTATTTTCTGTATACTGAAATACAAGCCAGTTTGTGATAGCTTAGCAAAAATAAATTATCTTAGTATATACAGAGTGTAGAGTTTTTGTGGAATTGAGCTTCACTTTGCAATTACTTTATTGTGAGACCTGCCGTAACTAAACCTCTCTGTGTTGAGGATAAAATAATAACCACCACTTAATGATGGTTGGGAAGATCAAAAGTACTAGAAAGTGCTTTGGTTAGTATTTGGTGGATGTTTTTATTATTAATTGTAAGTGCCTAACGCTACATCAACAACTTCAAAGCAGAGGAAAGGTCTTTTGGCTCACTTTGTAGAACACTACCATTAGGTTTTAATGATGCCAATGGTCGATGATAAATTTTATCACAAGAAGTTTTGCCAAATTTTTGACACAAGTGGTAAATACATAGCATAATTTTTGTATGTAAATATAATAATGTACTATCATGAAATAGGTCTCCTTAAGCTAAATGCTGATTTTTCCTTGGAATTCATCAATTTGCTTAGTTATACACATGTACAGTTATATCTAGCAAAATTACATAAAAATTTATGCATTGACTCAGCAGTGCCAATTCTAGAACTCTATCCTAAAGATATAGTAGCAAAAATATGAAAAGATGTATGCACAAGACTATTCACTGTGCGACTACATGTAACATCAAAAAAAGGGAAACATGCCTACATGCCCATATAAGGAGAGTCATTGAATAAACTGAGATACTTGCACACAAGGGAATACTCACAGCTTTAACAAGGAACAAGAAATATGTATACCACTATGGAATGATCTTTAGGCTATAATGTTAAGTGAAAAAAGCAAAGTGGAGAAAAGTTTTCTTTGTATACTACCATTTAAGAAAGAAGAATATAAAAATGTGTATATGTACACTTGCTCACATTAAAAAGGAGGAGAAAGATAAACAATGTTTTAAAAAATAAAAGGTTATCTATAAGGACAAGGAGAAAATAGCATGACAAGGACAGGAATAGAAGCTAGACTTACTTAAATATATTTTTTAGATTTGACTCTGGAAATGAATGTTTCACATAATTATAAAACAAAATTAACTTTTGAAAAGAAATCCCAAATTGAAAATAAAATGAAGCAAATCAAATCTAACCGTATATTCTATAACACACACAGAGGAGCTTTTTCAAGTGACTGAAGCAGTAATTTGACCATCTATCTATAGAGGGATATTCTCTACAGACAAAAGATAAAGAAGCAAAAAAGAAAAATTTTTTCACTGTTGTCAGTATTTGTATTCATGATTTTAATGTTTGTAAATGTATTCTGGTTTTTTGAAATGTGAAATGTGGGATAAAGAAAATAAGTTATTATGTGATGTTCTAATTTAAATCATCTCAAATCATTCCTGAGAACCAGGATTCCCAACATGGGAGGAAGGAAATAGAGATGGAAGATAGAAGAGGATAAATAAAAATTCTGTAGTCCTGAATTTGAATTAGAAGTATCATGATGCATTTTGTTTTAAAATTTTTCCCTCTGCCTCTGAAAATGCCTAGAAACAATAACCAATCCAGTAGCAATGAGTATACCTTGTATCTGGATTATAGTATTTCAAGACCAGTGCTCTTTAGAGAAATGTCTTATTCTGATTCCATATCATGAGCAGAAAATGTCTTTTTGCCTAAAACAACAAAAATCCAAACTTTATATATTTTAGCTTATAAAAGATACATAGCTCTGAAAAAGCCTAAGCACAGTGACAAACCCAGTATCTGTGAGTACTTCTAGTTCCCCAATAATGATCTTAAAATACCATTTTTCACTAATAGGGATCAGAGCTC